GGAATTCGAATTCCGAATGTATTCGTAGACGCTTTTAGCTTTTCCATTCTCATTGTCGTCGATCTGTTTTACTCTATGGTTATCCATATTACTCGGACTATAACAGAATCTTTACAAAAGAGACTTTTTTGAAATTTACAATATCAAAACCATTGTATGAATAATGAAATGTAAAAATCAGTAAGATGAACAAATGTGAAACTTCATGTCATTATTACATGAAGATCAATTAGTGATATTTTAAGATTTGTAACTCCCAATTAAAATATTGGAGAGTTACATAAAAATGACAAATTATCTAAATACTTTTACACTTAATATGTGAGTTACATTTGAACCTAACTAAAAGGTGGAACATAATTGGTTGATGTTGGTTAGCATAGATAACAAAAAAAAATGGGTTAGTATTTGTACCAACCTCTATATATATCCATTGAGAAGTGGTATATCAGTTAAGTGGTTCACATATGAACTAATTAATGAGTTCATATATGAACCCACAGGTTTATATGTGAATCACACAGATTCACATATAAACTTGTTTGTTGCCTATAAATGTAAAAGTTGTGAAACTATCCGTCTATCTTTTGCATATCATACGAGAAATTATTCGGTGCTTCACAGTTAGAGCCACAAATATTGACCAGATGAATGACTAAGATCCCTTATTTACTTCTCAAATCAACCTCTTCTTATATATATATATATATATATATATATATAATTATATATATATATATATATATATAAAATTATATATATATATAATTATATATATATAGAGAGAGAGAGAGAGAGAGAGAGAGAAAAAAGAGAGAGTTTGGTTCAAATGTTAATCAAGTTTATTGTGTTAACTTTGTTAACCATTTTCAACCAATGACAATCCATCTTATACATAGGTTTCTATCCATCTTAGAATTTAATGATAAGGGTAAATATGTAATTTTCTTTTTTATGTAACTCCATATCATTAATTGAGAGTTACAAAATCATAAAATCAAATGATTTTTACGTATTATTGAATATCCAATTATGTGAACATGTGAACATCAAAATGTGTATAAATGTATACATTCATGTTGTGATCATATATGTTCTAGACCTCTCTCGATAAGACTATATGTGTTCGTACCTGTTTAATGGGTCGTTCATCATCTTGCATATGGTTATATAATTGACACAGGTTTCAAATGTGTTCATAACTGATTGAAAGATTTCGTATATGTCGATTTATGTTCATAATGAAAGAAATATTGTTCACAAGCTGTTCATATTGTGTTCGTATGTAGACTAACTGCATTTCTCAACAGTGACTGGCTCCTGAATGTGTTCATAATGAAGAAACTATTGTTCACGAGCTGTTCATATTGTGTTCATAACTGTTTTTTTCCTTACATTTCGTATAGCAACTATTCTTATTGTGTTCATAACTGGTCATGTTGTGTTCATACATGTTCCGAGATGCTTCAAGACACTTTGTTAATGATATTTACTGTTTTGGTAACTGATGGTATCAAAAGCACATGATATTTTACATAAATACCTTTTTCCACTTAGTTCACATATGTTTGTGAAATTGTAAATTTAATAAATTAAAATTTTAATATGATTAATCACAGTCGTTTATTGTAATAATCAATGGTCAAGATTGGTTAATAAAGTTAACACAATAAATTTGGTTAACATTTGAACCAACCCATATATATATATATAGGTTTCAGGTTCAAATGTTAACCAAATTTTTTGTGTTAACTTTGTTAACCGATCTTGGCCATTGAATATTTCATTAAACGGTTGTGATTAATCATGATAAAAACTTATTTTTTTAATTTTAAAATTTCACAAAGATAAGTGAACAAAGTTGAAAAAGGTATTTAGGTAATTTTTTATGTAACTCCCATATCATTATTGGGAGTTATAAAAAAAAATAACATGATTTTTGTTAAATTATTTTTGTTAATGTAAGAACCATATGAACACAACTATATATATATATATATATATAAACCATTATGTCAAATACGAACAAAAAATTGACATATATATGAACTTAGATTGCATAGCATTTATGAATACAATATGAACATAATAAGAATAGCTACTATACGAAAGGAAATAAATAAAAAAACAGGTATGAACAGCTTGTGAACAATAGTTTCTTCATTATGAACACATTCAGGAGCGATCCTTTGTCAAATTGAGTTTTATACATGAATTGCATCTACACCGTTTAAGGTTCATATTACGGTATCTCCTCTCGCCGGACTGAAGAGTCGTAGAATCAAAATACTTTTTATTTGGTATTCCCTCCCTACTACAAACAAGCCATCTTGTTTGTATGTCTCCGTTCTTGTTTATTTTTTTGGCATGAAGACGAACATCAAACACGACATTGTCCGCGTACATCCTGTACATCTTTTCCGCTTCATTTATAGATACGAATTGTGTGTTGATCTTTGGTTTAAACTCGTAATCAACACTGGGGATAAACTAGTTGCTTCCGTTTGAACACTCTCCGACATCGTACTCTGTTTCATGTTCGGAGGGTGTAAGTATGTGAACACCTGTTGATACCATCAGAGTTAGTAAAATCAATGAATAATATTACATAACTAGAGTAATCAACTGTAACAACCAGAAAGTAGATTTATTTGGTGCGAGTTAGAACAATCATTAATGACCATAAGATAATTAATGTGAACATATATGAACATGAACATATATGAACAACATGTGAGATCTATTTGGTTCGAGTTCACAAGTTGTTCATAGACTAAAATAATTGACATGAACATATATGAACAAATTGATATGAAGATATATGAACAACGGATGAGATCACTAACTGAAACCAATATTCATATGATGGGGGTCATTAACATGAACGTATACAACTGTGAACATGATGAAGCCACGTAGGAAGAGAATATCGTAGAAAATATATGAAAATGAGTCGTGCATGTACTTCCATTTGAACATGTGAATTAAGTACGTATTAATAATTAAAGAAAAAAACTATCAA